GGCCCATATGGGGATCCAAACCTGTGACCTTGGTGTTATAAGGCTGCGCTCTAACCAACTGAGTAACTGGCCAGCCTCACCCAGAGTTTAGAGTCTCATAGGTCAGTAAAATTTCAAAAAAAGTTTAGGGGATAGCCATAGGGTCTCCAATGTTTACTTTTGTCAAATGTCAACTACTTCATAAAAAAATATTTGAACTATTCATAAGAGATATTTTAAAGTGAATAGTGTATGAAAAGCTTGCTGCATTATTCTTTCTTTCATTTCTCTGAGTTTTGGTAAAAACTTCACCACTGACCAGACGGTTTACAGTTTTGATTGTGGAACCACTGATTTGGCCCAACCTTAGGCAACAGCTGGCTCTGTCCCTGCAGACTGCTGGCTTGGGCCTGGAGTCCTGGCCTTATTCCCAGTATCCAGGCTGATATCCTTTGGGGGACTGGGGAGGAGTTCCAGGGACTGATTATTGCACATGTGCCATCCCCAACCTCCAACTATGACCGAGCCTGCCTTGCTTTAAATAATATACTTTTCTCTGATTTTAAAAAGAAAGACATGCTCGGTGCAGGAAAGCTGGGAAAAAATGGAAAGTACAAAATTTATCTCCACTCAGATATAAAAATTTACTGATACACAGGGGGAATAAAAACACTTTCCAACCTAAAAATCCTAGAGGGACAAAACCCAGCATATCTAAAACCAAAATGAAGCCTGGCACAATATTAATTGAAAGAATAACTAAATCTAAATAACTGCAATGATTTCTCATAGATGATCCAAGAAAACTCATCAAGTCGTTTTTGTTTTTTGATAACCAAAATGGCTAATATGGTAAGTCTTCCAGGCACAAAATATTTTTTGTATTTATTTTTTTCCCTTGTATTCCTTGTATCAAGGATTATTTACTTTTTCTAATTAGTTTTTATCACATTTTACTGTCTAAATAATTTACATAAGTTGAGTCTTATTATTAAACTGCCCCTATACATATAATATAATGATTTTAAAAACTGATCTGGCAGACTCTCATGATTTCAAAAGACATGCCTCTAGCAATTCCTAAGAAGCGAGGTTTAAGTTATTGAATTATTTCACATTCACTCCTGGTCACCTAAATGAGAAATACCTTAAAATTTATATTCAAAATTAAAAATTGAGAATAATTTCTTAACCTTTGTGGCATACAATTTTAAAGTCAATAACTCACCACTATTTGCTATGAAAATATCATCTATATCTTCTGCTCTGCAGGGCTGTTTTAAGCCCCTTCAAGCAGTTTACCAAATCTATCTTTTCTTTTAAGAAACAAACATTCAAAATACTCTCTGATAAACTGAAAGAATAAAAATGTCTTTTTTCTGGTTCTTCTTGGTCTAAATATGTAACTCATATGTCTTTGTTTCCTCTGATGTTTCATTATGTTTACTGAACTTTTCTATAAAAATATAAGCTCACTGTAGCTTTTTGAAAATAAGTATCATCCCTTTTCAAAAATCACTTCCTTCCTTTGATGAGACAGCTGGCTGCCTCTCAGTTAAGTCTTTACTTGAATCCCACCCGCAACCTGCACCTATTCCTTTGCATTTGCTTATTTCTCTCCAACTTCAGCGTCTAATCTCCCGGATAAGGCTGCCATGCACTGTGTCCTGCCGGTGTCGTGGTGAGCNCAGCGTCTAATCTCCCGGATAAGGCTGCCATGCACTGTGTCCTGCCGGTGTCGTGGTGAGCCTCCTTTGCTCTGACTTAGCCCATGTGAGTTTCCCACCTGGCACATGACAGAGGCCTAGGAGTTGCCTCTGGCCCCAATGTCCACACATATTCTAATTAGATTTTTCTTTCATTGTGTACGAACATTTTTCTTCTCAACCACTCCCTGGGACCCAGCTCTCTTCCTTCTCTCACTTTCTCTGGAATTTGTCATTAAGATTGCCTGGTTTTGTCCCCTTAGAATCATTCCCTTTTAACCCGCAGCTACTTACTGATCACAGTCTTCATTTGCTTCTGTGCCTACTGTGTGTGAGTCATGCGCTGTGTGCTTCGTATGTGTCATTTCCACTCTTCACAACAGCCTGAGAGCTGTGTGACTTGGACAAGTTACACAACCTATAAGCCTCAGTTTCCTCATTTAAAATGTGAATAGTAACACCAACAGGAGTCTGCTTTCTACATTCTATACCATACTGCCTTTCTTACATGGTTGTTTTATTTTTCTATGATATCCCTGACACCACCCAGCATGCAGTTCAGTGTGTAATTAGACCTCAACACGTACTTACTTGGTGATTGTGATTTACTACTTATGTAGTTAGTTACTACTTATTCACTACTAAGGTAGTTATTTAGTACTTATTCAATTATTTTCCTGAGTTAGTTCTAAGAAATAAATCAAATTACATTTAAAGTTTACTAAGGGGCTGGCCGGTTAGCTCAGTTGGTTAGAGCATGGTGCTGATAACACCAAGGTCCACAGTTCAATCCCTGTACCAGCCAGCTGCCAAAAAAAGTTTACCATGAGCAACAATTCACATTAAGGAACCAATGCAACAAGACAATATTTTAATTTATTTTTTGTATTATTTTTGCATAACTCTCCAGGTCCTTTGTCTATTTTTTAAATGGACTATTTTATCTTTAATTATTGGCTTGTATCAGTCCGCCCCCACCTTTACTAAGGCATAATTGACAAATAAACAAGACATTATTTTTTTATTTTATTTTATTATTATTATTATTTTTCCTTTTTGTCTTTTTTTTTCGTGACCGGTAACAGGATCGCAACCCTCGGTGTCGCGCCCGTACCGCGCCCGGCAACGGAATCGCAACCCGCACTGCGCTCAATCAGTGAGCGGACCAGTCACTATATGGGATCCGAACTCCCAAGCACCGCACTCTACCTAGTGCGCCACCGGGCCGGCCCAAGACATTATTATTATTATTATTTTTTTGTCTTTTTCCATGTCCGGCAACGGATCGCAACCCTCA